TTTAAGTCATTTGTGGAAAAAAAAATTCAACAAATCCATTAAAATCCTTCGTTCAGACAATGGTGGTGAATATATTAACTCCACTTTTCAAACAACCTTACAAGTTGCTGGCATTATTCACCAATTAACTAGTCTCTATACACCAGTGCAAAATGGCGTTGCATAAAGGAAACATCATAATATCATTGAAACACTACGAAGCCTTCTTCTAGATGCCCATATACCCTTGTCCTTTTGGCCTGATACACTACTCACCACTATTTATCTACTTAACCATCTACCAATCTCACCACTTCCTAAATTATCACCTTTTCAACTACTCTACCACAAGCCACAAGACTATACTTGTTTAAAATCTTTTGTTTTGTTTATGTTACCCTTGGTTACCAACTCTTCCCAAACATAAATTTGATCCAAAATCATCCCTATGTGTTTTTCTCAGTTATGCTTCGAATACTAAAGGTTAAAAATGCTACATTCTTGAATCAAATAAAATCTTCATTTCAAGACATGTTCAATTCATTGAAAACATTTTTCCCTTTCAATCATCAACTATACTAATTTCTTCTACATCAGCTCCTCAATTCACTGCACCCTTAACATTAGTTCCTATCACCTCCAAGAAAATCAAAACAACTCCTCAACCCGTTATGTCTTCACCTACATATACTACTCCAATTTCAACACTAGCTTCCATATCTTCAACAGCTACTTCATTGCCAATCTCCATATCTTCAAATTCACAAAATATCTCTCCACCACCTCAACAAACACATCCAATGCTTACTCGATTCAAAACTGGACATCTAAAATCAAAAAATATTGTTAGCATGTCTCATTGTTTACAGCCAATGGACCCTGCATGCTACTCTCAAACTTCTAAGCACTTGACTTGGTGTCAAGCTATGTCCGCCGAATTTGATGCTTTACCAGCACAAGGCACTTGGATACTTGTGCCTCCTTCACCAAATCAAAATGTTCTCGGTTGTAAATGGATTTATAGAACAAAATACAATGCAAATGGCTCTATTGCAAGACACAAAGCAAGATTAGTGGCACAAGGTTTTAAGCAAGAGTATGGCTTAGATTATTTAGAGACATTTAGTTCGGTAGCAAAGTTTCCAACTATCCGCATTCTTCTTACTGTTGATGTGACACACAAATGGAATATTCTACAATTAGATGTTTCTAATACCTTTCTTCATGGAGACCTTACAGACATAATATACATGTCTGAACCAGTTGGGTTTATTGATCTGTTACATCTGAATCATGTTTGTTTTCTCAAAAAATGTATCTATGGCTTGAAACAATCATCAAGACAATGGTTTGCTAAGTTTTCTAACCATTTGGTCAACTTCGACTTTCAGCCCAGTTAAGCCGATCCCTCTCTCTTACTTTACCAACATGATTCCAAAACTTTATACATCTTAATATATGTGGATGACATATTATTAATTGGAAATTATGAGGAACTTATTCAGCATCTACTACGGGATCTCAATCAGCATTTCAGCTTAAAAAATTTTAGGAACCATTCATCATTTCCTTGGCATCACCGTGCAATCATCCTCATATGGACTATCTCTAACTCAGGCCGCATATGCATCAAACATTATCTCTAGAGCTGGAATGGAAAACTTCAAACCATTAGCTACTCCAATGGCTATCAAATCTCCCCCATCTCCAGACAGTGAGCAATAATTCCACAATCTGGATTTATATAAACACTTAGTTGGTTCCTTGCAATATTTAACTGTTACGAGACTAGATATCTCCTATACAGTTAACAAACTTTATCAATTCATGCACAAACCGTCAAATGGACATTTTTATTTGCTCAAATGGCTGATCAAATATCTCAAAGGTACCTTATCATTTGGTATATTGATCCAACCAACTACCTTACAACTTTCTGCTTTTTCTGATTCGGATTAGGCGGGAGATCCACTTGATCGTAAATCCACGACAAAATATTTGTGCTTTTCTTGGACAAAATCTTATATCATGGCAAGTCAAAAAGCATAAAACAGTAGCTCGTTCATCTACTGAGGTAGAATATAGGTCTCTTGCAACTACAACTGCTGACCTCTTATGGCTAAGACGCCTTTTGCTTGAATTCGGCATTCCAACAAATAATTCAAATGAATTATTTTGTGATAACATTTCAGTAATCTCTTTAGCCAATAATTCTGTCTTTCATGCTCGTACCAAATATATAGAGATAAATTATCATTTCATTAGAGACTGTGTCAAATAAAAATCTGTCGCTATTCATCATGTCACAACAGTTGATCAAGTGACTGATATCTTCACTAAACCTTTATCTACTAAAAGGTTTGAAGATCTAAGAACCAAACTTACACTCTTTGACACGAGTGTCATCTTGCGGCGGGATGATAAGCTAAAGTGATAAGCAGTGCAGCCTATACTGCCATAGCCGCCTCATTATGATGAATTTTGCCACTTCTCTGCTATAGCAAGCACATACTTTTGCAGATTGAATCTCGTCCTTCGATGTTTAACTGACTAGATCCAACCATTCCTACTTCACTTAGTTAGAAGATATATTGTAACAAGAATTGTTCAAAGAGTAGGGAATCATTTTAGAACTTCTGCTCTGACGAAATACTTCTTCCCTGTTTCTCTGCTTCTTCCTGTTTTCCCTTGAAGGTTGCTAAAGCTCCAGCTGCAATTTGAGCGGTTTCACAACAAGTAGGATGATTGGTCATTTCAGCAGGGATAAAACTTTTATCTTGGTTAAATAATATTTTTGTCGCCTTACCTAATATGGGATGTTGTCATATTTGTTCGGCAATGTAGAGTATGTAAATTGGCTAAAATGCAGGATCAACCTGTGGGATTTTATACGCCAGTATAAATTTCGAAAGCCCCATGGATCGATGTTAGCATTGGCTTTGTACTTCGACTTCCTCGCACTCAACGAAATAAAAATTCTATAATGGTCTTCATGGACGGATCCCCAATTATGTGAGGCTTTGCCCACCCTTTAAAAAAAAGTATAAGAGGGGTAATTTTAGAATTTTGCCACCCTCCCCCCACCTCTTATAAAATAAATTTTTGCCCTAATATGACCCATCTCACATTGTTTGCCCATCCATCCGAAGTTCCAAATATTTTCTCTTCATGAATAAATGATAAAAATTATCTCTTATAAATTTGATAGCATTATGCTGGTTAAATTATTATTATTAGTATTACTATTTTATGTAATTATTATTATTATTATTATTTTTATTGTTATTTTCATCTAATTAATTAAAATTTTGTCCACCTTTAAAAGAAAAGCTGGATCCGCCCCTGTTGGTCGTGGTTGACTGGTTCTCAAAAATGGAACATTTTGTATCTTGTAACAAGACTTTGGATGCTACTCATGTAGCTGATCTATACTTGAGGAAAATTGTTCGACTGCACGACATTCCAAGATAATAACTTCAGATTGTGATGTCAAATTTCTTAGTCGTTACTAAAAAACATTATGAGAAAAATTAGGAACAAAGCTTTAATTCTCTTCTACTATCCATCCTCAAATAGATGGTCAAACTAAAACCGTAAATTGAAGCTTAGTAAATCTGCTCAGATGCTAAGTGGGGAAGAATATCCGATAATAGGATCTCATTTTAGCTAAAGTAGAATTTGCATTCAATAGATCTACCAATCAATCGACAAGGAAAAGTCCATTTGAAATCGTGTAACATGGAATTAACCCAGTCTCCTATTGATTTAATTCCTCATATACAAACTACTGCATATGGTGTTGACGGAGAGCAGAGATGCCAAGACATTCAACAGCTACACAATGATCCATAAGCACAACTCAAAATACAAAGCTCAATCAAATAGATCTCGTCGGGTCCAACAATTTCAGGAAGGGGACCTTGTATAGACCCGCCTAAGGAAAGAACGTGTCCCTCATCATTCTTTTGGGAATCTAAGACCAAGAGTCGACGGCCCTTTCTGTGTAATCAAGAAGATAAACGATAATGCTTATAAGATTGACTTTCCCGACGATTACAATATCTCAGCCACCTTCAATGTCACCGATCTCAGCCTTTATAATGAACTCGACATTCCTTCTGTCAGGACACATGATGATTCATGTTCCATGATGGCTCACGTTCTTCTGTGCTTAGGAGAATTTCCACTCCTCTGTGCAAAGCTGCAGCTAACGGCTTGTCCACGTGTCCTATTTACATTTGCTAGCTTATTCTTAAATACTGTAGCAGCTGGTCATCTTTCTAATTAGAACAAATATTCTACATTCTTCTTCTCTGTTTTTCTCTGTTTTCTCCATTGCTTTTCACTGCAGGTACCAAGTCTTCACCTTCTACCCAGGAGAATGTTGCAGGAGCTTGGGGTTTATCTAATATAAACAGTTATATTGGTATTAGATATTTACTTTGTTTTGTCTACCATAATATTTTAGAAATTACTGTTGCTATCAGCTATATGTATAAATAAAGATTGAGTAAGATAAAAAGACAGATTTTTCTATCTTTCTATTTCGAAACGTAGGTTTTGTATCCTAAGTTAAATATCCTCAGCTGGTAATTGCAGAAGTTGTTCCATTTGAGAAGAAGTGCCCTTCTCTGGCTCTCGCTGCCCAATAACGGTATCATAAAGAGTAATGTTATGCAGATTCTTCTTCTACGGACTTTTGGTTTTACAAATGCAACCTCTTTATAATTCGTATGAACAGTGTAAAAGTCGAATTATTAATTAATAAAAAAATGAATTGATTGTTATATTCCAAACTCCAAAAAAAAAAAAAAAACTTTTTGAAGCTTATTTATGCTCATCCAAACACTCAAAAACTTAAAATCCTTTTTTTTGTACACTCAAAATTGCTCGAATCAAACAATCATTGAAAGAAGAAACAAAGCGCCAAACTTTCACTAGATCATGATGAGAAAACTAAAATGCATCAACACATATATCAGTGATGACAGTTTCATATCCACTGTCGTCACTGTGATCAGCTATCCCAATATCCCCCGGCTGTGCTTCCGGCGGCCAGGCCTCGCTGGAATTATGCGAATTCGTTTAACCACACGAACAAAATCCCTGTACAAATAGTAACAGACAATTAAGCTTAATCAAGCGTAGCTTAGATAAGTAATCCCTCATAATACCTCTCTTCCATTAACAACATACTATTTTTTTAGCAATTAGATAACATTTAGATGATTAAAACACGAATAATTCATGTCATTTATATTACGAATAAACTAATTTTGTGAGAGTAAAATATACAAAAAATGAGTGATTAATAATCATTTAGATGATATTTTCTTAATAGGATTTTCAAAATTGTCTTCAAAATTCTATTTATGGGAAAGCTCAATTAAAAATGTGATTAATGCTTGGAACGAGTGCAATCTTTTATAAAGTTGATTGTAAAGTTGTTGTAGAAAAAATAACTTCCTTATTATGGTTGTAGAAATCAACTTCTCACAATCGAAATTTCTAAAACCAGTGAGAAAGTAGAAAGAAATAATAGCCAAATAAAATTTTTATTGTGATTTGAAAAGCAAAAAAGTCAAAAAAAAAAACATGTTTTAAAAAAAAAAAAAAAAAAAAAAAAAAAAAAAAAAAAACTATCCCAATTAGACTCTAAGATTGTGTTTAGGATGGCTCCAATATTTTGTAAAGATGATTATAACGTTGTTATGAAAAAACTATTTTTTTTTAATTTATGTGGATTTTTTTTGAAAAAAATAGATAATTGTTTTCTTACAACTATCACATATTAATGATTATGGCTGTAGAAAACAACTTTTCAGAGAAATTTTTGAAAAATAATTAATGAAAATAATAGTCACATAAAATTGTTGTTGACATTTTAAAAGTAAAACTACTAAGGCTTCGTTTGGGACGGTTTTTTTATTGCTTTCTAAAATTTAGTTTTGGGAAGGCTCCAACATTTTGTAAATGAAAAAAAACTTTTTTTTAAATTTATGTGGATTTTTGTTTTGAAAAAAAAAAAAAAAGATAATTGCTTTCTTATAACTATCACATATTAATGATTATGGTTTTAAAAAACATCTTCTTTTCACATAATTTTTTTTCAAAATAACTAATGAAAATAATAATCAAATAAAATTGTTGTCGATATTTTAAAAACAAAACTACTAAAAAGTTATCTCAAACACACTCTAAGAGATGCTCAAGAAAAAAATAATAATAAAACTATTGTACCAAAAACAATTTTTTCAAAAAAATAATTATGAATATTTTTCTTTTGGAAAATACTATTACATTCTACAATATTGATGGTTAAAAACTAAAAGTCGCAAGGTAAAAATTTCTCTAAAAGAATATTAGCACAGGAGCTCGAATGTTTATATACTTTCAGCTCAGATCCCCCGCGAGGAGAAGATCATCCTCCCTGTCCTCGTAAGCAACCATGTGGCCCGGCACGGCGTTGGAGAGATCAAGTCCGGCGTTGGAGAGATCAAGTCCGGCGTTTGGGTAAGTCTTATCGGCGCCGACGAACAAGCGACGCAGCGTGAAGGCGAGGCTCTCGTAGCTGGCGTGCCGGTCGAGCCGGACCGAGTGGCAAATGGACCGGCCCTCGAAGATAACCTTTACGGAGGGGATGATGCCGGTAGTGCTGAGGAAGTTGGTTGGAGGCGGCGAAAGGGCGAGGAATCTCTCTGAAGAGGGAGCGGCGGCGGAGGTTTCTTCCCAACGTCGCTTCATGACTTAGAGAGAAAGAGAGAGAGAGAGAGAGAGAGAGAGAGAGAGAGAGAGAGAGAGAGAGAGAGAGAGATCTGAAGGAAGTGTGAGATGGGGAAGTCGAGTAGTGTGAATTTATAAAGAGGAAGGAGGGTATAGAGAGAGAGAGAGAGATGGAGAGAACTGATTGGTGTTTTACAGGGATGAATGCGTAGAAGGGAAGAAAGACGGACAGACAGCGCGGCGGTCGCCGGACAGTTCGGCGTTTGACTGAATTAATGGGACTACAGTGTCCGATTTAATACTATTAGAATTTACTAAACTCAAATAAGAACTATTTATATTATTAATTAGCACCTAAATCATTAAAATTTAGTTGTTTAGTCTCTTAAAATTTTCAATTTACATTATTTATTACTCTGATAACTAATGATTCATTTGGGACGGCTTTCTTGCTCTTTAAAGCAGCTTTCTTATAAATTTTATACTAAAAAGTTGATTTAAGAAGCAACAAGAAATCCGTCCCAAACGAAGTCTAAGTTAACAAATCTTATCGAGGCATGTCGATGCCTTCTCCCAGTTAGCTCATGTTATGTCAAAGCATAAGATGTGACTTATTCCTCTTCCTAATTATTAATATGATGACAATTGTTTTTTTTTTTTTGATTATTTTATGAAACATAATTTTAATTTTATTTCCAGTAGCCATCTTCTTTAATAAGCTCATTGCATCAATCTAGTCATAAGATATTCAATATAATTGTTACTAGTGAGATTTGTGTCATAGCCATCTCTAATAAACTTGATAATAATTTTCTTCATCAAGAAATAAATTATGATTTCCTCTAATTGTATTATAGTATTTCAATAAAATTCACAATAGATACATAAAAGAACATGCTTTTATGCATTGTACTTTATAGTCTTTAATTGTCTAATTGGTGTAATGTCTCATTAGTTATACTCTATTAGGATATCGCATGTGATATAATGAGCTTGTACCATCCAAAAATTCAATCTCGTAGGGGGTCCATAAAACTAACCAAACTCAATAATTTAGCACTGGGACATCACATGTAATCAACCAGCTCAATGGCGATGACTCCCTTATTAGTTTAATATCAAGGAATCAATATTAAATTAAGAACTAAGCGCTAAAATTGATTTTTCTTAATGCTTCTTTTCTAATTATTCTCTATTGGATTTCTCTTTGGCATCTCCTTAAAAACTCTCTATAAACATATTCTCAGTGCTAAATCTTATCCTATTGGCTCAAACCTATATATAATTGCTTAATGCCTTTTTAACATCACCTTTTTTTCCCAATAACTTCTTGCTAGCAAGTTGTTTCGCTTTATAATGTCTTTTTGGTCAATGCATCATAGATGGCTAAACAATTAGTTGTCTTTCTCAACTCAACATATCTTAAAGACATCAATGTTAGGTACATAATAGATTGCCATCATTTCTCTATCTCATGAGTGTTTGCCACTGATACAAATCAGAGATTATGAAGTGTCATCATTTGTACCTCATAACTCTACCACATGAAAATAAGCTCTTATGTCTCATTCAAGTCATTATAATGGTCATATGAAATAACAAACATGATCATTTCAAGTTTTTCTATTTATATGTATAGCTTAAGTTTTAGAAGGATCATATCACACTTGAGAATAAACTTATATAGTGACTTTCTTCTTCCTCTTCCCTTATTCCTCCTCCAAAGCAAAGAAGACTTTCTTTGAATGAACTACTCTCTTTTCCTTCATAGTGGAATCCTTTTCTTCAATGCACAATGGATATATACCATCGTGTCGCATAGCCACTCTGGCATCTGCAAGCACTCCTAATTAGTTTAGAGCCTATTTGAGATCACTTATATTTTTCTTATTTTTTGTAACATTTTTATTTGATGTATTTTTAAATTATTTATTTTTTTAAATCAACTTATTTAAAAAAATACTAAAAATAACAATGAGTTATTTTAAATATTTTATAAAAATAACTGTTGCGTCCTGGAGTATTCGCGACTGTAGAGAAATATATAGTTTAACATCTTAGCATTGTACGAAGATCCAGCACACAAGCAGACAAGAGAGAGTGTGTAGCGTTCATAAGATACACCATAATTTTTATGTGGAAACCCCTGAAAAGGGGGAAAACCCACGGGGCCTGGCCTAGTTTGAATGAATCCACTAGTATTTGTAGTCGATTACACATTGTGGGAGTTACAATAATCAATATAGACATATTTGTTTGGTTGGAAGGGCCATAGTAAGCACGAGACAGGGGTCCGAAAGACCGCAGTAAACAGGAAACTGGGGTCAAAAAGACCATTGTCTGTTGATGGAGGTTGGAAGGACCATAGTTAGCAGGAGACATGGGTTCGAAAGATCGTAGTTGGCAGGAGACCGGGGTCTGAAAGATTATTTCCTGGTGATGGAGGTCGAAATGACTATAGTAGGTGATGAAGGTTGGAAGGACTGTAGTCGGCAGGAGACAAGGGTTTGATAGACCGTTGTCTGGTGATGGAGATCAGAATGACCAAAGTAGGCAACGGATGTCGGAAGGACCGTAGTTGGTAAGAGACAGGGGTCCGAAAGACCATTGTAGAAGGGCGATACTCTGGTAGAACTCTGGACATCAGGTGGTGGCCTAATAGATGTTCGGGCCTTAGGTTGTGGTGCGGCAGATATCCGGGACTCAAGTGGTGGTCTGGTAGAAGTCCGAGTGTCATGCGGTGATCCGAGGGAAGTTTGGGCCTCAGATGGTGGTCTGACAAAAGTCTGCGGCCTTAAGTGGTGATCTAGTGGAGTAACGACGTCAGGCGGTGGTCTGGTGGAAGTTCGGGCCTTAAGTGGGGGTCCGACATAAGTTCGGGGCCTTAAGTGGTGGTCTGGCGGTACAACAATGTCAGGTGGTGGTCCAGTGGAAGTCTGGGCTTAAAGTAGTGGTCTGGCTGAGCAACGATGTTAGGTGGTGATCTGGTGGAAATCTGGACCTTAGGTGATAGTATGGTAGAAGTTCGGAAGCTTAAGTGGTGGTCTAGCAAAAAAACGACATTAGGAAGTGGTTCGATGGAAGTACGGGCCTCAAGTGGTGGTCCACTGGAGCAACGACGTCAGGTGGTGGTCCGATAGAGGTGAGGGCCTCAAGTGGTGGTTCGGCGGAGTAATGACATCAGGTGGTGGTCCGACGGAGGTGAGGACCTTAAATGGTAGTCCAGCAAAGCAATGACGTCAGGTGGTGGTCCGATGGAGGTGAGGGCCTCAAGTGGTGGTCCTGCAAACTCAGGCGGTGGTCGAGGAGGAGCTTATTCCTTCTCTTCCTTCTCTTCTTCCTTCTTCTTTTCTTGCTTTTTTCCCCTCTCAAGAGAAATGAGGGGTCTATTTATAAATTTATGGAGTGGCATGGCCCGTAAATAGGTGAGAGATTAAGGGTAAAAGGGGAGTGGTTGGATGGACGGCCGATGTTGAATCCCTTGATCGTGGACAGTTTGATGGACATTTCTATGCCTTAGTGATATCAGAATTCAGTAAATTTGGGCTCGTTGGATTCATCTCTTCGAGCATCTTGATTCGACTATAAGCATGTCATGTTTGGAAATTGTTTGGTAACCCAAATTATGGTTCAAACCTTTCAACAGTGCTTCGGGTCCTTAATTTGGACCCATTTGGCTCGAATTGAGTCGAATTTTGTGTTGTTAGGTTCGTATTTCTGAGACATTGAGTTCGACTATAAGTTTGCTTAAATTAGAGTTCGTATAGTCCCAATTTTAATTTCAGGAGTTTCCAACTTGATTTTGCATCGAGATTCATGCACGATCAAGATAATTTTTTGAGGACGTATCAATAACCATCAAAACTTTCCACATTTACAATCAATCCCCCCATCATCAACACTTCATACTTCTCACCTGCCTCTATCATGAGTAATCACTGTCACCATCATATAAATCAATATATTCAATATTTAGTAAAAATAAACTTAACATATTTTAATTTAATAAATAAATTTTTTATGACAAAATATAAATAAAAATAATTTAAAATAAAAAGTAAAAAATGATCCCATATGTACTGTAATATGAATTCCAAAAAAAATGTATTGTAATATGCATATATTTTTAAAAACGGTAGGATTTTAATTCAATTAAATAAAGCAAAGATTTATTTTTGTCTATTTTCTAGTAATTAATTATTAAAAGGGAGGATCTGCGTTATTGGCTCTGCTAGGGTTTGCACTGTGCCCTAGCCGCCCAATTTTTCGTACGTCACCTCATCCACCTTCTGTGAGGGGTTCCCTCTCCATCGGATCCCCTCTAGAGATCACAATTCCCCCCCCCCCCCCCCCCCCCCCCCCCCCCCCACTTTTAGGGGATACCAAATCCCCCTCTCAACCACCCGCGAATACTCCCTTTATTCCATCTGCCTGCAGCTGGACAAATATTGTCACCCCTGACTGTTTGTCCTCTAAGGACATGCTGGTAGAATTTTGCGAAGAGGAAGATGATGTTCTGATCTTTCAACATGCTAAAACCAATGCTGCTGTCGAAGAGTGGAATCTATCGCTGGTAGGTTTTTCTGTTGGTAGGAGGCCTTATTACAAGGCCCTCTTAGCAACTATTTAGAAAACTTGGAAGCTCAAAGGTACAATCCAGCTTTTTAATATGAGCGATGGTTTTTTTCTTATCAAATTTTCCTCTATCATGGACTACGATATGGCATGGAACGGTGGGGCGTGGTTTCTTTTAAGCCGACCTTTCATCCTGCAAAAAATGGTTTCCCAGATTCAAGTCCTAAAGATAAAATTTTTCTTCGGTTCCCATTTGGGGTAAATTCATCGACCTCCCTCTTTGTGTTTGGAACTCAGAGGGGATTTCATGGATTGCCAGTAAAATAGAAATACCCCTTGCGGTGGACGGCTTAACCGCCCAGAAGTCTAGACTCAACTACGCCCGTGTATGCATCCAAGTCAACAACAAAACCAAATACCTAGACTTTATCCCCATTTCCATATAA